ATCGATCTTCTCATCAAACTCTCTGCAACAAAAGGAAATAATCATATTTCTCAAAATGACAAACCATTCCTTTAATGAACTAATCATGAGGCAACGCTACCTTTTAAGTACTCAAAGATGGAGGATGATGCGGCGACCAGCATTGCAAGACATTTCTGCAATGAAGGCAAAAAATATATATTCAGCCAAAAAAGAGGATGACAAAGTATTAATATTACAGCGTATTTCATCGTGATTTGTTACCTCTTCACAGGATGTGTCTGCTGGATCCCCGCTCTAATTAGCTAACGTATTCGACTCGTAAAATTTTGACCTCTTTATATCAATTACAGGCCACCTTAAGGTGTGCCAGAGTGCTGTCGGTGTTGCTGCAATTCCTTGGTCACCAACACAGGTCAATAAAAGTCATAGATTATATAAATTACTTAACACCACTTTCATTATTGGCTGGAGCTGTGTTAATCAGGGGCATTAGCCTGTGTAGGGAGTACTTTGAAAGTCTGCAGACTCTTAATGGCTCTGAAAAACCTGCCGATATAGGGAAAATGCTGTATGTGATGATATACGATGGAAATGATGGTTTTTGCAGCATCGAGGAAAAGTGACATGAACGTTAGGTTAATAATTATGGTTAATATGAGGAATAAGATTACGTCTTATTCATTATAAGAATTAGCCGAAAGGAGGTTGTAAATATAACGTGAGAGATGAGTCATCATACGTATATTTCTGCACCTCCGTACCTAAAATATAAATCTTCTCGCTCTCTGTCTATTTCTTCCCTCTTGACACCCACTTTGTCACCCTCCCCCTTCCCTTTCTCACACATTCTCCTTCTTTTCTTCGCAAGGGGTGATCTGGACCATCTGGAGGATGAAACGTGGACGCCATGTGTCAATAATGTCAACGGCTTTATCTCTGCCTTCCTCTTCTCCATCGAGACAGAGACCACCATTGGCTACGGCCACCGCGTCATCACCGACCAGTGTCCAGTGGGCACCATGCTGCTGCTGCTGCAAGCTATACTGGGCTCGATGGTCAATGCCTTCATGGTGAGCACCAGGGGTGACTCAGGAATGGGGAAATCATATTAAGAAATCAATGGTAGTCTATAAATGATCATATTCAGGAAAATATGTTATTCCCCTTCCTGATTTTACACAATATTTAGATTTTGAGTCTATTAAACTTGACATTTATTATTATCAATTTTACAAAGGAAATTCTAACTCAAATGCTTCAATATTTAGTTATAAAATCTAAAATTACAGGACATAATCATATAGGGTGATTTGTGCAGACTTATTTACACATTTATAATTAATTATAATAATGATGAAACCATAATATAGGAAACATAAAACCTGTCTTTGCCATACTTACACTGATTTATTGCTGATCTTGGTGAGGACTTATCTAATACTCACTGTATGTCAGTAGTGTTTGTATGTCTGGGTCTAACACATAGCAACTGTGTACATAACCCCTGCTACATGAGGAGGTCAGGTAAAAGAAAAAGTATAAAAAATTGGCTTTCAGATTAATAAAATGTTCAAATGATCTAATTCTGTTTGTCACAGGCATTCAAGTAAGCTAAAACAAATAGAAACGTGTAAATACTGTTTGACCTGAGTCAGTCTGATTAGAAGGAAGCCTCCTGTCAGTTCAGCTGAATGAAATCAAAAAATACACATATTACAACGTGGACAAAATGACACTAATTCCGAGCAGATGGTATGCCTCCTGGAAAAGAATATTTACTTTGAAAGTGCTGATGAAGCTCGGTTTTTCCCACAAAGTAAGCACTCTTTTGATGAGGACAAATCCACACTGCGACGTCCAAGCAGAATCATGTTTATGCATGACTGCGAGCTGGAAACATGCCATATTAGCAACCGATGGAAACGTGGGCTGTTTCACTATGCATATTAGAAAATGATTGAGTCTGAGGTTAATTCAAGTGTCACTGCTGTTTTTTAAATGTTGAAAACTGGAAATAGTAAGCTCTATTGAAAAAAATGAGACAAATGAGAAACGAGATTTCTTTATATTCAGCACCCACAGTGAATGTTTGCAGCTGTACAGTCTGCATTAATTATGAAAAGCAAGATAAGTTATGAATTTTTCAATAATCCTACTTCCAGTTATTGCACATGTCTGAGCATTTTGTACCTGCTCTGTCTGTCTTTGAGTTTAGAGCACAGTCTGTGTCTCTCTCTTCAGGTTGGCTGTATGTTTGTGAAGATCTCGCAGCCCAACAAACGGGCAGAGACTCTGGTGTTCTCCAAACACGCTGTCATCTCTTTGAGAGACGACAAGCTCTGTCTTATGTTCAGGGTGGGCGACCTTCGGAGCTCCCACATCGTAGGGGCCAACATGAGGGCCAAGCTCATCAAGTCTAAACAGACTCAGGAGGGTAAGACTACCAGATAAGACAAACTACCTCTGGAGCTTGTATAATTACTGCTTCTTCCACTATGACAACTACAATACTTCTACTACTTCCTAATTATACAGACTCTTGTGTCTTTAAATTAGTTGATTTTTAAGTGTACTTTCACTTTTTTCATTATAAAATTAATTATTTTCTGTCAATTGTGTATTTGATTGCTTTAAGATAATCAAGAATGATAGTGTAGCCTATGGTTATGCTGGCAATCTGTGCAAAAGCATACTTATAAAGAAAAGCTAAACTAAACTCTTCCCTTTTCCTCACCCTGTGTTTTATCGTCTGTTTCAGGTGAGTTCATCCCGCTTGACCAGACAGACATCAGTGTGGGCTTCGAGACAGGGGACGATCGTCTCTTCCTGGTCTCGCCGCTGGTGATCTCCCACGAGATTGACACACATTCGCCCTTCTGGGACATGTCACAGTCCCAGCTGGAGAAGGAGGACTTTGAGATTGTGGTCATCTTGGAAGGAATGGTGGAGGCAACCGGTGAGGAATGGGTTAAATATAATAATGTATGAAGCAATGAGAAAGCAAACACCAAAATGATTACCCGGTAAATCATTTCCCCTAGTGCTAACCATGCTAACAGCTGACTAGTATTATTTAAATATAAACATTGTGAGAACTTTAGGGGCAGTCAAGTAAACTGGCAAGCAATGTTAAAGGTTATACAATGAAGTCTGGCAGTTTTGTGCACAAGGCAGGTAAAATAATCACAAAATACAACAACAGAATAACAGGAATGCATTTCAGTGTTTGCATATGAAATGAGTGGGCGATTGAAAAACCAGTTGCTGCTAAGACTCACTGTGCAGTGAATGAATACACGGTTACTCACTGGAAATAGTGACAAAAATAAATGTAGCAATATTGAGCTGATGATAATTACATATTAAATGTATTAAGGTTCTGGCTATATAAATAATACTATTGATTTTATATGATTGGTTGTAGGTGATTTTGTTGTTGGACTGCATGGGTAATAATACGTTGCAATATAATTTGAATGTAAAGGTGTAATGGCCTGTGTGTTGTAAATGCATGTTTGGCTACCACAACAAGAATTGCACATTAGGAAATTAATCTTGTAGATGCATACAACTGTCTCATATTACAGTAAGACCATCACTGTTTTACAGAAAGCAGACCCTGTCCAAAACTGTCCATTAGAAAATGAAATTTACCTTCCAGGATGTCTGAGTTTAGATGTACAATTATTTATCTGAGAGCTCTCCATCTCTTCTCGGTCTTTCAGGAAAGCTTTTAGAGGCTTATGATGTTGTCATTGCAGTAGGAATATACATATATTTAGATACAAGTATATAAGTGAATGCGTTATATAACAGGGAACAGAACTGGACAGTAATCGCTGGAGTGAAGTGATGTTTTTGTGTTCTTATAGTTTATGTTTTCATCACTTAACTGTTGACTAAAGGAGCAGTCTTTTACTGGGAGAAGATTAAATGGGTTTTACATCATATGCAACAAGGTGTCTTAGCAGTGCATAACCGTATCCATCCCCACATCAGCCAGTGTGTGTCAGTGAACGCTCATCTGCCCTTAAGCAAGGCACTGGCGCGTTATGGACTAACTCACTGTTAGTCACACTTGATAAATGGCTAAAATGCTAAACAAATTCATTTCTGCAGCTCAAAACACACTCCAGACTCAGGCTTAAGAGCTCTGAATTTACAGTATATTGAATGGGGAAAATCATTCAAACCAGCTGGGCAACATGGAGAAACTACATACTTAAAAGCAGAGTTTAACACCTATGTTATGTTTATGGTTTTTATTTAATGTTGGCGGCATTGACTTGTACTTGTCTTACTGTCTGAAAAACGACCAAATCCAAACAGAGTTTAGACGGGTCCGTGTTTGGTTTATCCCCTTCTCATATTGCCTTATGTCAAACTCATTCTTAGAGGATAATATACTCAGCTGTTCCCTTTCTGTTTGGCAGGAATTCAGTGTATCAGAGCTATTCATGATGCGTCTCCATGAGGTAAAGGTGGCCTCTCTGCCTACTCCAAATATTGATTCCCTTAGTCAGAGTGCTGTGGAGAGTAACAAAGCAGTAGCCGACACTCATAACTTGGCTGCAGAGAATAAAGAGTAATTAAATTGTTGCACAGACAATCCTAGTTGTTTCCTGTGATGTATCGCGAGCAAAGTTTGCAAGAATTGATGTGCTCATCAGTATGCTTGTGTTTGTGTGTGCAGGGATGACGTGCCAGGCAAGGAGCTCCTATCTAACGGAGGAGGTGTTGTGGGGTCACCGGTTTAGCCCGATGATGTTAATGGCAGAGGGCTTCTTCGACATCGACTACGGAGCCTTTCATCACACGTTTGAGGTAACGTCTGTGGGCGCTGGGGTGATAAAGGCAGACTACAGGCTAATATCGAGGTGTTTGATTTGGTAACCTGGTTGAGCTATCCTATAAAACAGGGGTCCAACTATGTACTATGTACAAAACACTTGTTTGCTGTTATTAGAACAGCTACTGGCAATATGTGACAGGAGTGTACCTTATATTTCTGGGTCAGACTACTGAATTTTCTCATTTCTGTCTATAGGAGGACAGACATACAGTAGGCATCATGTGGCATTATGTTCAGATATCAGCAGTGTTGTCACAATGGTGTTGAGCAGCAGAAAATGCTTCAACTTCAAACATTATCATAAATATCTTTGGTGTCATTTTATGAGAAGAGGCAAACCTAGCAGCTCTTCCACTGACAGCAGATAAGAATTTAACTGCAAGTTGACTTTAAGTACGGAAAACTGGAACAACTCTTGCTGTTCTCCCTATTCCTGTCTCCACCTACATGTATAACCAGCAGCTGAATTCTCACACTTGTTCTCTTGGGGTTGTTGAAAGGCATGCTGGGAAATGCTGGAACTCTTAACTTAAGTATTTTTTTCATGTTTATTTTAGTAGGGACAACTACACAGCATGGACCAATGCCACACACCAAAGCTATTTTATAACCTATGCCGGAGCACAGACAGTAATACAATGAGCGTCTGATCACTCATGACTGTGTGTTTGACCTCTCTTTAAAACTGTCAGTATCCCAGTTATGTTCCATTTTGACTTCTGTCACTAAGATGCACTTGTTGAGTGAAGCTGGCAGGTTTTACAAAACATAGCCTTACAATTTTCTAGGACTTGTAGAAACAGACGCAGCTGGTGGAGGAAAAAAAGGTGTACTTACAGCAGTTAAAGGAATGGTTTTGGGAAATATATGCATTCACTTTCTTGCTGAGGCATGGGTGAGATGCCACTCTCATATTTGTCTATTTGCTTAGCTTAGTGTAAAGACTGGAAACAGGGGCAAACAGAGGCAAACAGGGGCTCTGTCAAAAGGTAACAAAATCCACAAACCAGCAACTCTAAAGCTCACCAGTTAACTCATTTTTTTAATCCGTGCAAAAACCAAAGAGTAACACAATGTGGGGTTTGACGCAGGGTTACGTGCCGGACCATTTCATGGCTGTGATTTAAGGCCCCTGCTCCCGTAACCCTTAACGTGTCCCCACACCCTACCTGCAGTGGCTCCCAGCCCCAAAGATTCACAACCACTGAACTAACGAGACACAACAAGGTAATTCGTGAGCTTTAGAGGTGCTGGTAGGCAGATTTTCTACCTTTAGACAGAGCAGGGCTAGCTGTTCCCCTCTGTTTCCAGTCTTTGTGCTAAGCTAAGCTAACTGACTGCTGGGCGTAGCTTCATATTTACTGTAAATTTCACTCTCAGCAGCAAAGCAATTGAGCGCATTTCCCAAAATGTGGAACTATTTCTTTAACTAAAATGTAACTCTGAAAATGGGGCTAATCTTCATCATGTTTTCCCATCCCCCAAGGTGGACACGCCCTCCTGCTCCGCACGAGAGCTCTCATTGGCTGCAGCCAGACTCGACGCTCACCTCTACTGGTCCATCTCCAGCAGGCTGGATGAAGAACCCACCCTGACCAACCAGGCGGCCAAGCAGCTGGACAGCGGCTCGGCCAACAGCAAAGGAGGGGAGACAACCTTCATCGTCGGAGAGATGACCGACATCCAGGAGCAAACAGGACTGGGCGAGCTGAACGGCTGCGTCGCCACCGATCAATCGGAATCGGAAGCCTAGAACAGAGAATGTTTACAAAGACCTTCAGTAAATCACCACCACACCACAATAAGTGTTTAGCAGATCCTTTTCTTTTAAGGCAAATAAGTAGTTTCACAAGGCTCAGTTCTACAGTATACGCCATATCTTGTGTTACCATATGAAGGAGTTTATTTGTTGATATTTACGTCTTTTATTTCTATGTTGATCTTTGTTAAAAGTGTACTGTATGTGTGATATCTCTTTTTCAATCTGTTGTGTTAGCTCCAATCACCCTTGCCTATATCTACATTTAAATGACAATACTATGCTTTTGGTGGGGTCAACAATAATATATCCTGTGGACCGAGGCAGAATTATTTTAAAACAGATAGAGGTCATTTGTCTTGCTGGGTAGAAAGGTGACAAGTCAGTTGTTTGTGCACATTGTGGGATTGTTCACATTTAAAATACGTACAGTGCATAGACGCTTTATTTTCACCTGCGCATGAATATCACTAGATGGTATTGAGGTATAGACTGAAATTGTAGTAACCTCAAATTTATTTAGATGGAAAGATTGTTCTAGGATTTATTGTGTATCAATCAGGTGTTACCAGGGTGGGAAAGTAACATCCGGCCCACATCCGCTGGTATATTTGCTAGAAACTTAATTTGGTAACAAACTTAAAATTGTTTAGAAAATCTATTTGGCTGACAATTGGACAACAAAGCTGGTTTCCTGCCCTGGGTTTAAATCATTTTTTCTAACTTTTTATAATAAGGGTACAAATCATATATTTAAGTAATGCTTCAATAATTCACGACTCATGATTTAATGCAGGATGTTTTATGAATTCCTGTTGCTCAACATTAACAAAGGATAAAGTCACAATGACTTGATGTGATTAGTTCACAGTTAATTGATCATCAGTTAAGGAATGTTAATTTGGTCGAGTTAGCCGGATTTTAGTTAACTTTTTTTCAGAGGAAGAAATTCCTGAAAGTCTTACAGTACATAGAGGAATATGCGGTTATTTAAAAAAAAAAAAAAAGCATTTTTATTCAACTCAAATGCAGCTGACTTGATTGCATATCAATTAATTAACATTCCCCCAACTGATGACCTGTTAAGTGTGATTTGGTGTTTTGTTAAAGGTGAGCAACAGGAATTTGTGATACACAATGCATTAATTCATACAGTAAAGCATCATGACGCATTCATTGGTTAAAGGTTACATATGAGATTCAGAACAATAATATAGGAGCAACCGACTATTTGCTATGTAAAGATAAAGTGGAGCAGTTTTAATCTACGTTGATGAATTAAGGATTTCAGACCGAAGCAGAGTTGGTCATTGTTGGACCAGTGGAAAGAGTACTGTTCTGGTGAGTTTTATTTAGTTTCTATCTATTCTGTTATGGTCTTACAATAATATGCGAGGTAAATTACCATTTTTGTCTCTGGAGTTTGGTGGCCAGCGATATGACGGCTGTTTCTGGTTCAACAGAGACTGTAGAAAGGCTAACAAAGTCACTTTTGTTGAGTTTTGTTTGTTTCTGTTCCATTGTTTTGGTCTGAGATTCTTACAGGTACAATACATAACCTTGAAGCATTACATAAGTATATGATTTGTACCCTAACTATAAAGAAGGCACAGAGGATTATGTTTCACCAGGCTGAAAACTGAAGTGTTTTGCTGCCCTGTCTGGTTAAACGTTTTCAGTTTAAAGCCTGTTAAACCTCTGACCGCACTCAGGATCACTGCTGGGTGTGGTCAGAAATGTACTCTGTTGCACCTGTTACCACGCCCTGACAGTGATGTCACCGGGTCCTGAAGTACATTTGTACATCACTGCAGCAAAAGGTGAGAAGTTGAACCACTGGAGGTCAGCAAAAACAAGATTTTCAGGGAGTGTTCAGTTACTCTTTGAGAACACTAATATGAATTTGCTGACATTCCTAACTGCACTTTCACATTATGGTAAATAGGGTATCTATCTAAAACCTTTAACACAGAGACAGGTTAACACTCGAGTTTGTCTGTGGCTTTGTTTTCACATATGACGTGTGTAGCACAAGGATGATCTATCTTTTGTTCCCCAGCCAAGTAGAAATTAAAAGCACAACAGTGTCCTGGTCAGTTCAGCCCAGACTCCTGCTTCTGCTGCTGCGTATATATGTGGCCATTTTTACTTGATGTTTTTAATAATTAATATAACACATCTATTAGAATTAATAAACTGCAGTATATTCCAGACCAACTGTCTCAGATTGTGTGATATTCCGAGTTATAAATAAAAATATGTTATACGTGCATACTAAAGCTTTGAAACTGCTGTTCAGGAATATAACTTTAATTAGGATGAGTGAGATTAAATATTTGGGATAGAAAACGTACTACTCAAAGATCTGGTTTAAAAAATGTGTCAGGATTCAGAAAATAGCACTTCGTCCTGAAAATAGGCTTAATCCTAAATTACATCACAGAGCATGGACTAGAACTTAAAAGTAACATACAGTAAAATCCATTTGTCTGGTCTTACGCTTATAATACTGCAATACTAAAATTTAACAATATAAAATCAGTGCTGGAATGTGGCCGTTTAATCAATCACTGCACAATTTAAAGGCACCTGCACTTCATATGAGTAGGCCTATTTCCATTGTATGCTTGTATAGTTCTACCTCATTATCATTAATAGGGAAGTATTGTCACTAGAAATATTGTTACTAGTTACTTTGCAGATTAAGATTTTATGCACATACGATATGACCATCTCATAAAATATGATGAACTGTTACGGAATAAACTACTCAAAGGTTTATAAAGCGGTTAAAATTAGCTTCACATCCACCAGCTACGACATTAAAATGCTGCTGAGACATTGATGATGTAAAATGTTATATAAAACAATATAACAGGAGCCATTTTTGTAATGGTAATGGAGTGCTTTTACATTGTGATACTGGTACTTTTACTTAAGTAAAACACCTGAATATTTCTTCCACCACTGTATAAAATACATAAAATAAATTATTGGAACTTTGTTGTTGTTGTGATTTTGTGTATAATCAGACAAACACACTCAAACTCATAATTGTGGTCAATACTAAAAGAGAGAAGCTATTGATCATTAGGTTACTCATTATAGACTACTTTGCAGTACACGTTCCAATTTAATTTTCCTTTCACAAGGAGCCTCAAAAAAGATCTGCACCTTACCTTTTGTCCTATTGAACCTGATAAGACCTATTTAGTATAGTCCATTCATATAATAAGTGAGGTGCAGTGATAAAACAAGAATTCATATAATTGATTTAATTTTTACCATTACTAGAAGTCACAATAACATAATAGAAAAGTACTTTATTACAAATAAAAGTCCAGAATTAACAGAGACTGTGGCACCAAATGGACTTAAAGTATCAAAAGTAGAAGTGCTATTTTAAGCGCAATTTTAATGTTGAAGTTGGCGGAGCTTATTTAGACAACTTTATCGTCTAACAGGTAGTTCAATCTATAACAATGCCACATATTCTGTAGGCTGATCATATGTCTATGCTAAAGCTGTGCACTAAAAAGTACAATATTTACATCTGAGAGGTATATAAACAGGATACCATGTAAAATACTCAGGTAAAATACAAGTACCTCAGAACTGTACTTAAGTAAATGTACTTAGTATCTTTTCACTATTTGTGCTGGTTTCATCTATCTAGAAAAAAACATGTTTATGATTTATGAGACAAGTAGTCACTGTTTTAAAAAGTGTGATAATTTGCTCAGCCTGCGTTAAAAAAACACACATTTTTGTTCTAATTTTTAACAATCACTGATTACGTAATAGGTTGCCATATCAAAATATGTCACATATCAAACTTTCCTCTTGTGTGAAGCCTAAGCACTGGATGTCTCTCATTAGAAATTCAGGGCTGGGTTTCAGCACCAGGAGAAGTCAGCATATTGGGTTACTAGGCAGAATCTTGGCTTAAAAAAAAAAGAAAAAAAAAAGAAATGTCTTTCTCTGTCTTGGCTGCTAGATGGCGACAAAGATCCCATCCTTCTCCCTCCAGCCAGTCACACAGCCCTATTGGTGTGTAATGAGATGGGGTCCCAGTCTCAGCTGTCTCCTAGGCAACCGGGGCTGGGGACAGGAAGAGGGCAGAGTGTGTGCGCGTGTGTTCATGTGAATGTGTGTGTGTGTGTGTGTGTTAATGTGTGTTTGAACTGGACCTTCACAACTGATGGGGGAGTTTATGAGCATTGTCAGAGAGTTGACGTGACGTTGTAGTTTGATATTTGCGTAAGAATGGGTGATGATGATGATGCACAGCAGTGACCTTCAGGTGGAAAAGAACGAATGCCCTTGACACTGAAAAAGAACTCCTGAAGGATATTGACGTTTTCGTGTTTTTGTTTTACCTGTCAAGCGGCAGGCAGATGAATATCACATAGAAATACACATTTTAGTGTCTACAGAAGTGATTCTTTTGGTAACTAAAAAAGGACGAGGATGAGGCATCAAAGTGTCCAGAACAGAGAGAAACAACTGGACCTCAATGCGGTGCTGAATACATTCGGCTTCAGCAGATATGACATTGCTTCTTCTTCTTTTTTTTGCGTTCACCTCACGTTGTATGAAATGTCATCATCGGTTTGTTTTGGGAGTGAAAGGCTAAGTGGAAGTTTGATACTTTTCCAGTGATTTTCAACTAATCCCAGAGTTGAACCCCATGTGCCATTTCCAAGTTCTAATTATGATTTTAATGAGAGGCTGTTTTGCATGATCCCCGCTGAGCCGAAATCAATGTTTCTCTTCATGGAAGGAAGTCATGACAGTCTCGTTTCAGTCGAGGCAGACAGGCAAAAGAAGGAAAGGAACATTTTAAAAATAGAAGAAATAAAATCGAAACTGACCACTGAGGCTTTTAAAGTGTTTTTTGGAGTGCACAAAACTCCACTAAAAGCAGACATGCTCTTTATAGGAGTAATATGCAAATGCAAAACCTATGGCACTGACAATACCAGATCAATACCAGTCATCACTGTGTAGTGGTATTAGTCATTATAAATATGAGCAGCTGAAGCCTGAAACAACAGGATCATTAAAATAATGTTTTTTATTGCTGTTGGTGGGAAACGCTGTTAGTTAAAGCTGCTCTAATCAATATTTTTATATTAACTATGGATCAAATGACTACATATGATGTAAAAGGGATCATTCATAGTGATTAAACAACAGAGAGTTGTCATCCGAATATGCAGCTACCCTTCGCTCTACGGCGCGTTTTAGCCTCATTTAGCTGTTTTGCTTTTACAGCTTTTTACTGTTTTGCTTCGCTCTCTCTGTGTTCTCAGCAACGTTTCCAGATGCAGCAAGCAGCTGTTTTCAGCTCAGGTAAATCCACTGTATGCTACCTGTCCAGCACAAAACAACACAACACAAACCCCAAATGAGCATTACTCCATGTCTGCTGGATGTGTAAATACACAACTGTCTGCCAACACATTCCCTGTATGATATGAAGGTAATAAAATAGCTTGTTGTGCTGTTGCCAAGTCAGCAAAAATTGCTTTTTAAAATCCCGTCATGAATGTGAACAGAACAGCCCCATGTGTTACTGTACTTGGGGAACCTGCAAGAAAGCTTAGACAACCACAGAGAAGCATTTTCAAAACAATACAGCAGCTCTATAAAGTACATGCCTGTGATTTACAAGTATCTCTGATGCAGTAAAACCCACTGTTGGACCTGCCAATGTACTGGTTTCAAATTCAGGTATGGAAACTACCTCATGTACTACTGACTTCCATTGTATCAAAAACCGTTTTAAGTTCACAGTATTGCACTGATTATTTTTCCTGCTGCTTTTAATTGTCCATATTCCTGACCGTTTCCTTACTACATGAACCACAAGGCTCCACTATTACTCTGTAACGTAGCCACCAACCTTCCTCAAGTCTCAAACAACCCAGTAAGATCTTTCTTCCTTCTGTACTGCTGATGGGAAAAACATGCAGCAACACCTCCTGTATGTGTAATGAGTTCA